TTTGAAGATATTAAGATAAATATATAAATAATTATTATTTTCTAAACTTTATATATATATAAAGCGATTAAGAAATTAATAATAATCTATTATTAAATTATAAAGATTATATTTTTATATTAAATACTATAATTATAATCTTTTTTATTAATATTAATATATATAAAAGAATAAGATAAGACTAAATTAGAAAATCTTAAATTTATATATATAATTAATTATTAATTTAGAATTATTACGCTTTTTAGCTAGATCGGCTAAGTTACTATAAATAAATAAATTAGTATTTATAATTATTAAAATCTCGCTCTCTCGCGTTTTTTTATTAAAAAATAGATATATATTATTAATATATAAAATAACTTTTTTATTTTCTATTAAAATTATAAATCTTTTTTTTTAATTTTAAAGCGCTATTTATACTTTTCAAATTTTTAAAAATTTCGAAATTTAGTCTTATAAAGATTAAAGTATAATAAATTTAAATATTACTTATTAAAGTTTACTCGATAGTTAAATAGCTTTAATTAAATATATATTATTTAATTTTAAAATAACTTTTTTATTTTCTATTAAAATTTTAATTTTTTTTTAAATTATAAAACGAAGTATAAATACTTAAAAAAAAAAGAAATATTAAATTTAGTACTATAATTATTAAAGAATAAAAAAATTAAATATTATTTATTAAAGTTCGCTTATTAAAGATTATTTATCTACTTATTTAATAATCTTAATTAAAAAAAAATATAGATTTAATTTATAAATCTTTATTTATATATAATAAAATAAAATTAAATTAAATTAAATTAGAGAGTTTTAAATTTATAAATATAATTAATTATAAATTTAATAGATCTACGTCTTTTAATTAGATATCGCGAATAAATAAATTAATATTTATAATTATTAAAATCTTTTATTCTACTTTTAAATCTTTAATAACTTTATTATAATCTATTAAATCTTTTAAATTTCTTTTTAAATTATAGCTAATAACTTATATTTAATATCGAAAAAATTATAAAATATAAATATTACTTATTAAAGTTTATTTATTAAATTTAGTTAATAATTAATAACTTTAAATAAAAAATAGATATATATTATCTAATTTTAAAATAACCTTTTTATTTTCTATTAAAATTTTAGATTTTTTTTAAAATTATAAAACGTAAATTAAACTTTTAAATAAATAAAAAAAATTTAAATTTAGTCTTATAAATATTTAAAGATTAAGAATTTAAATATCGTATTTTAATATTCGCTCGATAGTTCTAATTAAAAAATAGATATATATTATTTAATTTTAGAATATTATATTTATTTTCTATTAAAAAAATTTAATTCTTTTTCTTAAATTAAGAACGTACTATAAGCTTTTAAATAAGAAAAAAAATTTAATTTTAATTTTATAAATATTTAAAGATAAAGAATTTAAATATCGCTCTTTAAAGTTCGCTCGATAGTCTTAATTAAAAAATAGATATATATTATTTAATTTTAGAATAATATTTTAATTTTCTATAAATTTTCTCTCTCTAAATTATAGAATATAATCTACACTTTTAAATAAAAAAAGAATTATAAAATTTAGTCTTATAAATATTTTAATATAAAGAATTTAAATATTACTTAATAAAAATCTATTTATTTTATTAAAAATACTCTTTAATATAAACTAAGATAGTCGAGTAATAATAATTTTAATAAATTTTAAAATTATTTTATCTCTCTCGTTAAAAAATCGTAAAATCGTAAAATTATAAGAATTATAAATTTCGTAAAATTCGTAAAATTCGTAAAATTAATAGAAACTCTATAAATTATAAAAATAAAAATAAAATAAAATAATAAGTATAAACTATAATAGATATTAAAATTAACTTCTTATTAATTAAAGTTAAATTAATTTAAAGTTAATTAACTCTCTTTAAACTTAGTATTAATATAACTTCTCTTTTTTCTATTAAAATTATTTAAATTTTTTTTAAATTATAGAATATAACTTATTTTTTTATATAATTTAAAAATTATATAATTCGACTTTATAATTCTAAATAAATCTTTAATTAAAATATTATTACTCTTCGAGAATCGAATTTAATTTCGAAATTAGATTTAAAAATTAATTACTTTTTATAAATTTAATTTATAAATCTAGACTTATAATTATTAATTAGATTTAAGATTATTAATATTAAAGAATAAAGAATTTAGATAATAATATACTCGCTAAGATTAATTAAATTATTTATATTTATATCGATATCTTTATAATTTAACTTTATATTATCTATCTTTTAATTAATATATATTTTAAATATATCGATTTTAGTCTTTTTACAATTATAATATTATTTAATTATCTTATCTTTTTATAGTATTACGAGTAAAGATATATAAATTAAATTTATAATTTTCTTTTTAATTAGAGCTATCGAGTAAATTTACTAAGTGATATTTAATAAGCGATATTTAAGTATCTCGCTTTTTAATAATTCTAAGCTTAAATTTTAAGATTCTTAAAGCATTTATAAGCGCAGTCTACGCTCTATAATTAAAAAAAAATCTTAAAGTTTTAATAGAAAATAGTAAAGTTATTAAAAAAATAAAAGTAAGTTAAAAGATTTTAATAGTTACGAATATTAAATTATTTATCTATAATATCTAATAAAAAAATTATAGCGAACTTAAATCTATAATTAATTATATATATAAATTTAAGATTTTTTAAATTAGCTTTATCTTATTCTATTATATATATTAATATTATAATAATTATAAATTTAATTTATAAAATTTAAATTATATTATATAAATTTTATAATATATAGATAATATATAATATAATTAATAAGTCTTATTAAAAACTAAGTAGAATTTAAATAAGAGATAAAAAATAGATTAAAAAAATATAGATTATTAAAAGAGTTATTATAAAAGAAATCTATTAATAAGTCTTATAATAGAGTTTTTTTTATAGCGTTTTTCTCTCGTTTTAAAGCTTCTTCTTAATAATATTTAGAATATATTACGCGTTAAGAGACTTTAAAATAGAGTATTAAAGAATAATATAATTAGATTAAAAGATATTATCGTTAATTTAGAAGAAGTATATAAAAAAAAAAAAAAAACTCGTTTAAACTCCTTTTAAAAATCTTTTAATACGTTTATAAGTAGTAGTAAATATATATTAAACTTACTTATAACCTCGATTATTAATAATAGCGAATTCGCTAAAAAATAGTTTAGAGATAAAAATAAGAGCTTTATAAGATAAGTAAAAGAAATATATATATTTTAAATATTAAATAATCTTTAAATAAGAAATATCGAGAATAAATATATTTATATTAATAAACTTAAAAATTAATAAAGTAATAAAAAATAGAAGAATTATTTAAGTTCGAATACGTTTTATATATCTATATTTAAATAATAATATACTTTATATATAGTAGATTAAATTTTATAAATTTTATATCGTTAAAAAGTATAAAATAAGCTTTATAGTTTAAGTAATTATTAAGTAATTATATTTAACGTAATTTAAATACTTTAAAATATAAAAGTTTTATATATAGATTTTTAATAAAAAGATATAAAAGAGTTAGCGAGTTAATATAGTCGATTTAATTAAAGAGTATAATTAATTTAAATTTATAATTAGCTATATATATAAATCTAAAATTTTATAACTTAACTTTATTTTATTCTTTTATATATATTAATAAATTATTATTCTATAAATAATAAATTAAACTTTATAAACTTTATATTCTTAGAGATCGTAGAACGAGCTATATAATTTCAAAATTTATTAAATAACTTTATCTATCGTAAGTTAAGAATTTTAAAGTATAAGAAATTTATATTTAAACTTTAAATAGATAATTATAAAAAAGTTAGCGATTTATTTTTAAAGAATTTAATTAAAGAATTTATTAAACTTAAATTTATAGATAATAAATTATTTATATATATATATATATATAAGTTAATTTAATTTAGCTTTATTTTATTCTCTTATATAAATACGAGTAAAGATTTTTTTTTTTATTTTTTTTTATTAAAGCTATCGAGTAAATTTAATAAATAATTTTTAATAAGTAATCTTTAATAAGTAATATTTAAATTTCTTATCTTTAAAGAACTATAAGATTAAACTTTAAGACTATTTCATTTTAATTTATAATTTAAAAAAAATAATTAAATTTTATTAGAAAATAGTAAAGTTATTTAAAGGTTAAAAGTAGAAAAAGATATTTTAATAATTAGAAATATTAATTTATTTACTCGCGATATTTAGTTAAAAAGTATACATCTATTTAATTTATAATTAATTATATATATAAATTTAAGAATTTCTAGCTTATCTTTATCTTATTCTATTATATATATTAATTAATTATCTTTTTTTATTTCTAATAATTATAATATAATTAAAAGTATTTTTAATAAATAAATAGAAAAAAGAATTAATAATTAAAATTAATAAATTTAATTAAGAAAATTAATATTATAATTAATATTATTATATCTAAATATATCTAAATATTTTCTCTTATATTATAAAAGTTTATTATCTTTTTAAATCGTTTAATATAATTATAGATAGATATTATATATATTTAATTCTAAATTTAAAATAATAAGAGAATCTATACGTAGGTTTCGGAAGCGATAACCTCTAAGAAATAAGAAGAGAAACGTTAGTAATAGAATACTATACAGTATGAATATCTAAGCTCTGGATGATCTGGTCAGCTTGAGGCTCTCTAGCCCTTCCAGGATTGCAGCCAGTGAGGCATTTTACATTCCTATCAGTATGCCCTTCTGACATCTCCGTGGCTCTCATGAGGAGTAGAGCAATCGTGGTCAATGTTTTTAGGCCTTCTTGTCAAGCACCCAAAAGTAGAGCCTTCGCAATTACTTTCACCCGCCTCCTCAACCAGCTTCAGCTATGCTGTTGCCTCTATTGTAACACTTCTGAAAGCTCAGTCTGAATCATCCGAGGGCCGTATTCGTTGCTGCTTTGGTTCTATAACCGGCAAGTCATCATCTCTTCCCGTCTTTCTCTTCGCCATTGCTCGCGCTTGTCCGTATATCTTAGTTGCACGCTCGCCTAGGCCCCAATCGACAATGTTGCTGATGTCTCGCTGAAACCTTTCAGTGGTCGCGTCCAGCCCGTGTTGCAGTGAGTACTGATCCAGAACGCTCGTATGCCAGTACACTGCGCCATTGCTCCAGAGCTCCCGCCAGTTGACGAACATAAAGCAGGAATTTGGCGCAATAGCCACGGTAAAGCAGATAGAGTCAGGGTCTGGATCGGAGTTGTCCTTGTCGACATCGACTTGTGGTAGACTGGTGAAGGGCCCCGAACGCGGCTTGCCCCTGGCTTCATCATTCCAGTCGGCTGTGTAGGATACGATGGCACTACCAGTGCGCTGGCACTGGACTTCTGCTTCAGCAATAGGTCGATCCTTGGTCTTGACTTCGCCCGCTAGGAAGGGATGATGGATTTGTTTGGTGAGAGGTTTAGATACGGTCCTGTCGAAGACAGCTAGGCAGGTTTCAAGGCGTTAGCCCCCATTCTGGACGATGTAATGTATCAAAATGTTTTAGAGCAGGTTCAAGATACGTCACAGGGTACTTGCCGCAGTATTTATTGGGCAGCAGGTCGGTACTAAGACCATAAATGAGGTCTGGCTCTGGGTTTTGCAATCTGGGCAAACTGTCGTAGATCTTCTCGAACGATCCTTCAGCCGCAACAGCTTGAGGAACTGAACTTTCGCGAAACTTCGCTTTTGTCCGACGACCTGCGATTTGCCAGCGCATCAGTTTCCGAGTACACCATCCAAAAAAGCCCTTAGACTGCCAGAAAGGCCAACAGGAGACGAAAGTCACTTACCCAGGAGATCTTGGCTCCAAGCTTTGGGATCTGGCATGAAATCGTCGACTGCTAGAGCTTGCCCTGGCGCAATCTCAGGATTGGGCACCATGCGGGCCTCATCAAGAAGGATACCAAGGAGCTTGCAAGCGAAGTCGTTCTCACCAAGGATGGAATATTTTTTGGCAATTGCCTGCAGCGCAGGGACCTTTTCCTTTGCAGTCGGTGAGCCTCTTGAGCGGCCGAGGATTGCACGAGCTAGATCTATAATGGCAGCGCCACGTGTCCTAGACAGGAATTCGAAATGTGAGCGATTCCTCGAAAGCCTTGAAGATCTCTTGCAGAGTCCCAGTTCAGGGCTGAAGAACTGAGCATAGTACTCCTTGACAGGCCTAAGCAGTTTCAAAACAGCCCCAAAATTGGGTAGAGTAGCTGACAGGACAGGGTGTTAGGGTGCACATAGAGATCAAAACAACGTACCTTGCGTCTGGATCATTGTAAAAGTGGTGTTGCTTCTCGAACTCTTTCTGTGCCTGCTCCGGAGTCATGCCAGGTGACGATTCCTTCAGAGTCGAGCTGAAGTCTAAGTTTGGTGGTGAGGAAGGAAGATTGTAGCTGTTTGGAGAGTGAACTCCTTCGAGACCCTTAGAGATATGGACTGGTGGTGAAGAGGTGTCGTAGAGGCTAGGGAGTTGAGCTCTTTCAATCCTACTGGGAACATGAACGGGCGAGGGAGGGATATCGTAGCTGTCAGGAAAAGGATCTCCTTCGATGCCACTTGGATGGTCAGCTTGAGGCGAAGGAACGTCGTAGCTATCGGGAAAGGTATGCTTTGCGATACCTCGGGGAAAGTGAGATTCCAGAGAAGGAAGGTGATCGTTGGCAGGAGAGTCAGATGTTTGGATACCGCTCGAGACGTGACGGCTGGCACTTTGATGCTTGATCTCACTGTCGGAGTCCTTGCCTACAGCCTCAGTTAATATGCGAGGGGAGTCGCAAGTTTCTCCTGAGGTGGTGGATGAGGCTGGAGGTGAGCCTGACTCGTAATGCACGGGCAGCCGACCTTGCTCGTGTTGTTGCTCAATAGATAAGCTACGGGCACGTTTGGCTGATGGTGTCTGGACCTGAGCAACGTCTATGTCATCAAGTTTGCGAATTCTTTCCATTGCGCCATTGACTTTAATGGAAGATGAAAGTTGTAATATCTGGTGACTCGTGAGCTACTTTGTTGATGAAAGGTAACGAGGGGAAGCGCGTATGAAGCGCATACTTAGTTTCATAGGAAACGCGAAATACTAGGAAACGCGAAACTTTTAGACACGATAAGTCCGATCTAACAATTAATATTTAATTCTTATTAAAATTCTATAGTAAGTTTAAATAATAAGAATGAAAACATCTAAATCTTTCATAGTATTAAGACTTATATATTAATTTTTTTTTTTTTTTTTTTTTATCTTATCGATTTATTACTTTATAAAAATTATATATTTTCTTTTATTATCTCTTCTTTTATTACTTTATCTTATATTATTTTCTAATTTATCTATCTTTTTAATCGCTTCTATCTCTTTTATTTATTATTACTATTATAGAAAAGTTAATAAAAAAATCTTTAAGAGAGTTTATAATAAGATTTTTATAATAATAAGAGATAGTAATTTTATTAAATCTAGCGTAAGAAATATAATATTTTTCTTTTAAATAAACTTTATATTTCTTTATATCTTTAATAATAGCTATTTTAATATAAGAATATTTTAAAAATCTCTATATAAACTATTTTATAGCGAAGTTATTCTTTCGCTATTAAATAGTATTAAAATTTAAAATTTAAAATTTATCTTAATATACTTATCTAAATATAAAAAAGAAAAATATTACTTATATATCTTAATAAAATTACTATTAATAATTTTAAAAAAGATATTAATAGTAAGTATTATAAACGTATTATTAATATATTACTTAATTCTATAATCTAATAAATTTTAATAAAGAGATTTTTAATTATAATATATCTTCTTTCTATTTATAAAATTTAATAGTTTTATTATTCTATTTATCTTATTTATATAAAATATTTTTATATTAATTTTAATATTATAATAAAATATTAATATATATAAAATAATAAGATAGAGCTAAGTTATAAGATCTTAAACTTATATATATAATTAATTATAAATTCGAGTTTACTACGCTTATTAATTAGATATCGTAAATAAGTAAATTAATATTTATATCTATTAAAATCTCTTATTCTACTTTTACAATTTTAATAACTTTATTATATTCTCTTAAAATCTTAAAATCTATTTTTTAATTTATAGAGTACTAGAGTGTAATAAAATCCCTTATCGATCTTAATAAACTACTAAAATTTTATTCTCTATTAATTTTATAAATTATTTAGCTAATATATTATTATCTATTTAATTTTATAGCTTAATTATCTTTTTTTACTAGCTATCGATAGCGTATAGATATTTCTTTAATATATATCTATATCTATTTTAGAGAAATCGTTATCTAAGTTCGTTTTAATATTAATTTTAATTAATTAATTATATATTATACTTTCTTTCTTAATCTTTAAAATAGAATATTTTAATAAATCTTTATTATATTAAGATCTAGTAATTAAGTCGAATATATTAAAATCTTAATTTATTTATTATCTTTAAGTTATTAAACTACGTCTTTAATATCTTTTTTTAATAAAACTTTTTTTAATCTAATATTATAACTTGAATTATTATCTTTTTAAAGAATAGTCTTATTATATTATATATATTCTTTTTAATATATATAAATATAGATTAAAAATAGTTTTTAAGTATAGTAGATTTAAATTATTAAATTTCCTTTAAACTTAATCTTAACTTTATAAGATTTTTTAGTCTCTTATTTTATTATATATTATTAAAATTATTTCGAAATCTTCTTCTTTCGAGTTTATAACTTTCTTTTCTTTAAGACTTTAACTTTAACTTTTAAAGAATTATTCTTATTATTATAAAATTATAATTTATCTATTTTATATTAAGAGATTTCTATAAATATATAAAATTTAAAGTTCTAAAAGTTAAATATTTTTTAAAGATTTTTAGATTTTAAAGTAATATCTTCTTTATATAGTACTCTTTTATATACTATTATTCTAGAATCTATATATATCTCATCTATAAAATATATATATTTCTAGAAGTTTTTAATTATATAATATTTATATTTATTACTATATTTAACTCTAATATTCTTATTTTTTTTAATTAATTTTCTTAATTTTCTATCTTTTAAATAGTTTAACTCTATAATAACGAGTTATAAGATTCTTCTATAATATTCTTAAATATATTATGGAAATATAAGATAAGATACTTAGTTATTAACTATGGAGTTACTATAAAGAAAAGAGCGATTAGATATAAATACGCTAAGGCGTATCACGTAATCATATTACGTAATCGTCAAGACGCTAAGAGTCACGTGATTCGAATTTTAACACTCCCCTTCGCACGTATTCTCTTATAAGCGAAATCTAATAAATACGAAGTTCGATGCTAATGAGGTTTAAAACCGAGTAGTTAAGGTAAGTTAATGCCGGGTAGCTAGCGTGAAAACACACTCCCCCCTTACACCCCTCTTACCCTTATCCTTCTCTTGCGAACGAAATTAAAAAACGCGAGATTTAAAGTTCGCGACGTCTAAAATAGGGTAGGTAAAGTGAAAAGTCGAAATCTGAAAACGACTATATTAGACTAGGCCCCTATCAAAATTCGATTTAAATTCCACTTTTTATCAAAAAGCGGTTTTTTAAAAATTTTATTTCTAGGCCATCTAGTGTATATTAAAAATCGATCGATTTAAGATCGAAGGATATTTATAAGAATAACTAAATAAAATAATTAAAAGAAATCCTTCTAGCTATATATCGTTGGCTATAAAGTCTCTATAAGAGTTATTTTAAATATTTAGTTTTTAATAATAGTAATTAATAACGATAATTTAAAGATATAATACTCGAGATATTAATAACGAATAGATATAGGTTTCTTAAAAGGGCTTTAAGAGTTTAATAGCGATAGCGATAGTAGCGTTAAAGAAATAAGTGCTAAGTCTAATATAGCGGCTCGATAGACGACTTAAGTAGATTACTTATAGTACGAGAATTAATAAAATAGCTTTTTTAAAGTAGGCGATAGTAGATAACTTCTCTAAATCTAGATATAGATATAATAGAATAGCTTTTTTATTAGATATTATTAAAATAAGATTATATTAAGATAGCGATAAGATTAATAACTATCTAAGAAGTAAGTAAATATAATTTTTACTTTAAAGACGTTTTAAAAAGTAATAAATTTATCTAAGTAAAGGGCTTTAATAAGTTTATTAGTTATTTATTTATTAGTAGAAATATATCGTATATCTATAGTACTATTATTAACTTTTTCTTATATGAAATAATAGATAATATTAATATACTTAATATAAGTATAAAATTAAGTATTCTTTACGAGAGTAATTACGCTTTAATTATTATCGAAAATAACGATAATTTTAAGGTTTATATCGTCGAGGCGAAGAAGTTAATTAAGTAGATTTTTTAGCTAAATCGCTTCTTTAATAATTTATATCTAATCGATATACTCTATCTTATAAATAAATAATATTATAATAGCTTAACGCTTAGATAATTAATTAATCGCATTACTTCTTATATTAAAGAGATAGCTAGATATAAATCTTCGAGTTATATTATTAGTCTAATTAGAATTAATATAATCGATAAGCTCTTAAAAAGAGTCTTTATATATAAGTTCGTAGTATACTATATCTTTTAAATATCGAAAGATTTAAATAATTATATTCTAATACGCTAAAGTCGAATTAGCTAAATAGCGATTTATTAATAATATCGCGTAGGCGATATTAGAATAAATATTAAGTATAATATATATAAAAGATCTTATCGCGGATTAATAGTTTTTTTATAATTTTCTTAAGATAATATAGCTTTCTTCGACGAAAGTTAATTTATAATTAATCTTAAAAAATATTAATATCGAAATAAGATTTTAATAGTTAAAATAATTTAAGAATTAAGTAATATAAGTCTCTTATCTTAGATAAAGAATATTATTATAATAATTTCTTTTAATAGTTATATTTAAGTAGTAGATATATAATCTTAAATTCGATATATAAAACTTCGCGTTAAGTCTCTTCTTAATTCGCTAAATCTCAACTTTATTTAAATTAATAATTAAGATATTATCGATATAGAGCGCTATAATAATATCCTCTTTAGAGTTTATAAATACGCTATTATTTAATTCGATAGAGAGAAAACTTAGCTTCTTTATATATTTCGAGAAATATTAATATTAAATTTAAAGAAATTACTTTAAATTATAAAGTATCTTATTTAGCTTATAAATCTTAATATCGTCTTTATTAAAGCTATCGAGTTAATATATATAAATCTCTTTCTTTATATTATCGTATAGAAAGATAGTTTTAATATTTATTTACTTTAAATCTTAATCTAAAGCGATTATAAGCGCGAAGATCGCCTTATAATTTATAGGCTTTATTATTAACGCGAAAGTATTATAATAATTATAATCTTTCTACTATTTAAATTTTTAAATAACTTAGCGTATCTTATAGCGAGTAATTTCTTTATCGAGACCTCATTTTAAGATATAGATTTATTTATCTCTTAGAATATAAGTCTTAAAAGACGTCTAAATAAGATATTAAGTATTATTATTTATAAGAGATTTATATTTATTCTTTATAAAAAGTTTTTAATTTATTTAAGATAGCTAATTAGATATAATCTACTCGTAAATAATAGACTTAAAAATATTTAACTTATTAATATAATTCGTAAGTAGAGTAAATATTATAAAGATTTTTAAAAGAGGATTAAGAGATAGATTCTATAGATTTAAAATTATAAAATTCGAATAATTATATAGTATTCTTTAAATAGCGCTTAATTTATAATCTTCGCGAATAGTTTATATAACTTTAATAATAATAAATAATAAATCTAAGTTTAAAAATAGTAAATCTAAGTTTAAGGAAATTTTTTATATAAATAGCGTAGATCGAATTATTAATATAGATATAAATATAATATTTAATTAAG